ATGGAATAGCTTTGATGAGTCTTATGTCGACGACACGCCTGGCGTACATAATTATAAGCGTTGTATAGCTTTGATGAGTCTTATGTCGACGACACGTCTGGTGTACATAATTATAAGAGTTGTATAGCTTTGGTGAGTTTTATGTCGACGACACGTCTGGTGTACACAATTATAAGAATTGGAAAGCTTTGATGAGTCTTGTGTCGACGACAAGTCTGGTGTGCATAATTATAAGAGTTGTATAGCTTTGATGAGTCTTATGTCGACGACACGTCTGGTGTACATAATTATAAGATTTGGATAGCTTTGATGAGTCTCATGTCGACGACACGCCTGGCGTACATAATTATAAGAGTTGTATAGTTTTGATGAGTCTTATGTCGACGACACGTCTGGTGTACAAGGTTATAAAAATTGGATAGCTTTGATGAGTCTTATGTCGACGACACGTCTGGTGTATATAATTATAAGATTTGGATAGCTTTGATGAGTCTCATGTCGACGACACGCCTGGCGTACATAATTATAAGAGTTGTATAGTTTTGATGAGTCTAATGTCGACGACACGTCTGGCGTACAAATTATAAGAGCTGTATAGCTTTGACGAGTCTTATGTCAACGATACATCTGGCGTACAAAATTATAAGAGTTGTATAGCTTTGATGAGTCTTATGTCGACGACACGTCTTGCAATTATTCGAAACACTCAGGTTTTTATTTCCTTAGGCATAGATTGCCTAAGCCGTATTTGGCACAATTTTTTTTCAGAATTGTCTGTATTTATGCTTTTCAAGTTTGTATTTGATTTTGCCTCCCATCTGTTAATTTGATCGCCCTGGATGAGTCTTATGTCGACGACACGTCTGTCGTACATAATTACGAGAATTGTATAGCTTTGATGAGTCTTATGTCGACGACACGTCTGGCGTACATAATTATAAGAGTTGTATAGCTTTGATGAGTCTTATGTCGACGACACGTCTGACGTACACAATTATAAGAGTTGTATAGCTTTGATGAGTCTTATGTCGACGACACGTCTGGCGTACACAATTATAAGAGTTGTATAGCTTTGATGAGTGTTATGTCGACGACACGTCTGTCGTACATAATTATAAGAGTTGTATAGCTTTGATGAGTCTTATGTCGACGACACGTCTGACGTACATAATTATAAGAGTTGTATAGCTTTGATGAGTCTTATGTCGACGACACGACTGGCGTTCACATTTTTAAGAGTTGTATAGCTTTGATGAGTCTTATGTCGACGACACGACTGGCGTACACAATTATAAGAGTTGTATAGCTTTGATGAGTCTTATGTCGACGACACGTCTGGCGTACATAATTATAAGAGTTGTATAGCTTTGATGAGTCTTATGTCGACGACACGTCTGACGTACATAATTATAAGAGTTGTATAGCTTTGATGAGTCTTATGTCGACGACACGACTGGCGTACACAATTATAAGAGTTGTATAGCTTTGATGAGTCTTATGTCGACGACACGTCTGTCGTACATAATTATAAGAGTTGTATAGCTTTGATGAGTCTTATGTCGACGACACGTCTGGCGTACAAAATTATAAGAATTTTATAGCTTTGATGAGTCTTATGTCGACGACACGTCTGGCGTACAAATTATAAGAATTGGATAGCTTTGAAGAGTCTTATGTCGACGACACGTCTGGCGTACACAATTATAAGAATTGGATAGCTTTGATGAGTCTTATGTTGACGACACGTCTGGAGTACACTATTATAAGAGTTGTATAGCTTTGATGAGTCTTATGTCGACGACACGTCTGGAGTACATAATTATAAGAGTTGTATAGCTTTGATGAGTCTTATGTCGACGACACGTCTGGCGTACACAATTATAAGAATTGTATAGCTTTGATGAGTCTTATGTCGACGACACGTCTGGCGTACACAATTATAAGAATTGTATAGCTTTGATGAGTCTTATGTCGACGACACGTCTGGCGTACACAATTATAAGAATTGTATAGCTTTGATGAGTCTTATGTCGACTACACGTCTGGCATACAAAATTATAAGAGTCGTATAGCTTTGATGAGTCTTATGTCGACGACACGTCTGGCGTACACTATTATAAGAGTTGTATAGCTTTGATGAGTCTTATGTCGACGACACGTCTGGCGTACACAATTATAAGAATTGTATAGCTTTGATGAGTCTTATGTCGACGACACGTCTGGCGTACACAATTATAAGAATTGTATAGCTTTGATGAGTCTTATGTCGACGACACCTCTGGCGTACAAAATTATAAGAATTGTATAGCTTTGATGAGTTTTTTAATAAATACATTTCATATCGCTTCTTTTTGATATTTATAATCTTGTCTTAATAAATGTTGTGAACATTATTACTGTTAACATTATCTCATTTACACTTAAATGTACACCTTATTATCTAAATCTGGTAATGTTAGAAACTATGCAATAAGAATGAAATGAGAAGCTGATAGATGCATGTTACTAACAGACATTTATAAGGCTATTTAACCGCTCAATTACTTTGTTAAGAACTGGCTTACGGGTTATTTTTTTTTAACTTTTTGCGTAGTAATTTGTTTTTGTTAATTCTAGCTAAAACGTGTTTTCTTCTGATTCTGTTAAACCGATATGAATTGATTTCATGCGAGCGTTTGAACAAACCTTTATTTATTTACAAGAAAAATGTAATAAATGTATTTAAATTGAAAGCTTATATTATAGAATCTAAACTTTATCAACCAGATGTTAAAACTTTTAACATCACATTGAAAGTTAGATTAACAAAAAATGTTGTTTAGTGTATATATTTTATATATATACTATCTGTATTCCGATTTCAAAAATATAACCGAGGTATTTTGTCACAGTAAAATGCCGTATATACATACATTGTATTTATATTTTATGTACCTGGACCGTTAAATTTGGAATGCAGTTAACTTTTGTACAGCATATTTTGTATATGTTTTTTTATCAAAATTACAATTAATTCAAATGTACCTTAATCAAAGAAACGCGTCATTTGGACAAATAGAGAAACTGAAATGAGTCATATGTTTGTCGTTTTTTTTTTTTTAAATAAGAAAATAGAAGATAAAAAGTGCAATGTGTATCATATTTCAATTAAACAATGCTTTTACAACAAAAGATAATCCAAACTTAATTTTGTGAAGCAGTGAATGATGTCATTATTTTAAAATGAAGAATGCTCATGTTAAGGTACAAACAGTTTTTTTATATTCAACTATTCACAAATTGGAAGTAGTTGAAGAACAAAGTTAATTGAGTCAAATGACATCATGTGTTGACTAGCATACTCTGACTTTTCATCTCTGATAAAACTAACTGTTTGTATTTATAATTATATTAACAATCAGTAATCTTTGTTCTTCTAGCATAACAAAAAATCTGCTCATTTTTCTAACAGACAAATATTAGTATGCAAAGATATATAACTCTACCCAATTCACAAAACAGCAGAGATAACATATAGAACTGAAGAAGAAAATTGTCAGAATAAACACATGTTTAGATGTTTTGAGATAAAGGAACAGCAATTACAATTCATTGTATAAGGAACAGTATTTTCTATTACGTACCATGTCAGAGCTAGATTCTAGAATAAGAACCGATACAATTATTAGTATTTGTATGCTTAAATATTACAAAAAGGTCAACATGGCAATCGTGGCTCGACTCTCTCTATATATATATATAGGAGTTATAGCCCTAAAGGACGATTTTTTATCAATTGTTTGCGTCTAGGCTTATACTTTTGAAATCTATAACAGTATATACTTTTGAAATCTTGAAGAGAAACTTTAAATGGCAAAAATGATCAACAGGACAAGATTTACAAAAATTGTCGGCATGGCCAAAATTGTTGGTAGACTCCTTATAAGAGTTATTGCCCATGAATGACGATAACAATTTTTGCATTTTTGGTCGAAAATACAAAGAAAGAAAAACTATAAACAGCAACACTATTCAACATGATAAGATCTACCAATTTGTCAAGATTTCAGAAATCGTGGGTTGACTACTTATATGCATAATTGCCCTTTAATGATGATTTTTACCCATTTTTTCATAGTTAGCCAACATTATAGTAGATAAAAAAAACTTATACTCCTGTTTCTGTTTTTAACCTATATATCGTCTTTACACAGGTTGTTGGCACGAAACCATGATTTGATGTTAATTTTTAATATTATATTGAATGATAAAACATTACATATATACCCCATATTTTACATGTATATTAAATTTCACATTTTCAGTCATATGTATATGGAATTTGCAGTACACATATATCAAATAACTTCGATACATATGGCAAACAAATCGAAATAAATGCGAAACAGGTTGTTGGCACGGAACCATGATTTGATGGTAATTTTTAATATTATATTGAATAATAAAACATTACATATATACCCCATATTTTACATGTATATTAAATTTCACATGTTCAGTCATATGTATATGGAATTTGCAGTACACATATATCAAATAACTTCGATACATATGGCAAACAAATCGAAATAAATGCGAAACTGTTGATGTAAAATATTTTTTTAACTCTACATGGCATATTGTCTATTGCTTTCTTAGTATGTTAAAGTTCAATCAATATTGACTCCAATATAAATCTCATTAATTGTTCATATATTTGTGCACTAGACACATGTCACGTACGTCAGAGTGTGTGCTTTTTGTAATATACTGAAAGTATGCACCAAGTTCGTTCCATTAGTTTTCATTTGTACAAAACCAAGCCATCAATGCACGATATTAAAATTTTTGTCAACAGATGTATGATCCTCAATTCTTCATTTTCCACATCGATGCATAATGTCATCTATTTTCAGTTATGAAAAGACATAATATATAACAGTAGAAAAAATGGAGTATATAAAGCTCCTAACAACTCCTGTTACATAAAACCAGACTGCAATCTCAAGCAACTGCAACTTTTGTCGGTGTCAACGATTTGAAAATTATATAAAATGAGACTTTGGTTACATGTAGCACTGCTTTGCATATATTTAACGAAATATGCAATTGAAAGTAAGTACATTTGAAAAGCTATTAATGAAAAATATTAGTTTTAGCATAATAAATTATAATGAAAATGATTCTGTAATGTACAACATTTCCCTAACTTGCATTCTTAAATGTTCTTAAAAACTCAATTTTCCCCAATTTTATAAATTAATGTTGTTGTTGATTTTATGATACTTTTCATTGATTTGACATATTATTTGATTATACGTTTTATTTATAGTATTACGTAATGGTAAAGGAGAGTAGGTGTATTAATTCATGACAAAAAAAAACTAGCATACGATATAGACAAAACCAGTAACAAAGGAACAGTGTTTTATTGCAGTTCTTCATTTCAAAGTAACAAACATGTATCAAAAGAGACGCGGAAGACCAAAAGACATACAACAGTCTACAAAACACAACATACAAAATGGACGGCATACACATGTCTACAATTCTAAAAACAAGAAGCCGAAAGAGCGCAAACGAAGAACCGGTAGAATATATATGAAAAGATATGTCAAGAAAAAATACGTCATAACAACAAAATTTAAAAAGCACCAAAGCACGAGAAAATCTGTTATACCATCGAAACAAAGACAACATGATGGCTTTTAGAGACCAATACTTCAAAACTTATTTTTGTTATTCTAAATTCTAAATTCCTTGAAAACAGTACAAATCTTGAAGCATAATAATTATATTTCAGCAATAAAAATACTGTAGTTGAATAGTTGCTGTCCTTAATTGGTGATTTAACGGTCGCAAATGCAGTTTTACTGGCGACGCATAGCACTGCCAGTGCTTGTTATTTACACGCGTTGTTAAAAAGATATCTGCTGTTGGGAATTGTCAGTACGATGGAGGACAGTGCCGTATAATTAAATGCTTAAAATGCTATGACAGTCCAGATAAGTGTCGAGAAATTAGAGGCAACAGCATTGTGCCAATGTTCAAATCTCGAAAATCCACTAAAAAATGTCAAAAAACACTTTATAAATGGTATGCATCCAAAATGAATTTCTGGATTAACCTACATTAGGAAAGCTTAAAGCTAAAAAATATATACAAATCAAAGTTTTTAAAAAAACTTAAGGGAGTTTATTTTTTAAAGCGACCAACAATTGATGAGGGTAATAAATGTCCGTCTTTTACTTTTATCAGTCACCCTTGGACAAAACATATCGTTATTTGGAGGGTTATTTTATTCTGATAAGGATAACGATTGAATGTAACTATATACATTACCCATTGATATTAATTCAGATTGATATACGTTATTTGAAATAATATTGCTTTCCAAAAAGGTAATTAACGTTGATACATTAACAAAACAAAAAGGGATCTTGTTTTCCTTCTCATTTAATGAATTTAATAAAGTATTCTTATAGTGCTACTCTTTAAAATCATTACTAATATTAATTATTCATATTTTTGGATATTGTTGTTAACAAGTTACAGTACAAGTAAAAATATGTTTGGATAAACAACAATGAGATATAGCAACCTAACAACTTAAAAAAAAAACACAAAAAGAGAGCTTGATATAGTCTTTCATTAATCACTATTTGAAACCTATCGTGAAAATTATATTTTTTATTTCCAGCAGCTAGTATTGTTAGAGATGCTTCAACCGAAGACAGCCAAAGAGTCAGACGATCTGAAGTAAAAGATCCTCCTATTCATGTTGATCCAAAACAGCCTACCAATCCACCAGCTTTGTTGCGTAAAATTCGATCTGGCGGTGATGATTCTCCTCAAGCTTATCCTCCTAAGTATGAAGAACTACCAGCTTTGACGCGCGAAAAGCGATCTGACGGTGATGATTCTCCTCATGTTGATCCTATAAAGTCCGAAGACCCTCCAGCTTTGTTCCGTGAAAAGCGATCTAGTGGTGGTGATTCTTCCGTACACATTGATCCTTTTAAGTCTGAAAGCCTACCAGATTTGGGTAAAAAGGGTTAATTCAAAGAACAATTATTCTTTATTTTTTATATGAAAAAGAGTAAACATGTGTAATGTTTATATAGATGTAAGTGTATTTCAACGTTCTTACATTCAATTGATTCTAAATTATAGTATGATATAAAAATAATTATTCATCATTTATTAAAAACTAATATGCATAAATCAACATAACTCCTTAATATTGCCATACCACGAGAATGCTATCTTGCAGAAAATGATCCTACAGAGTATACTGGTATGCTTTTCAAGAACACTACTCAAACCAAACTATCCTTTTTGACAAATGAAAAGTCACATATTCAATTAATTTGTAACCATGTCAACCTATCTAAACAATGTTTTGTTCGTTTTTATCCTTTATCTTCTCGGAGTAGAGCAGTCAGGTGCCGGTAGTCTGTTGGACTGTCCAATATTATTTGGTAATTCTTGTTGTCCTTTTTATCTATAATGTTTTAAGATATTTAAAAAAACCAGATGGACATAATCTTTCAACCAGTTTAATTGAGGTCTGGAGCTGGCATGTAAGTAACTGCTAGTAGTCTTTTGTTAATTTATGTATCATTGTCATTTTGCTTAGTTTCTTCTGTTACCTATTCTGAAATCGGACTCGGACGTCTTTTAAAATGAGTTTTACTGTGCGTATTGCTGTGTGTTTGTTTATTCTCATTGGCTAGAGGTATAGAGGGAGGGTTGGGATCTCACAAAACATGTTTAACCTCGCCGCATTTTTGCGCCTGTCCAAAGTCAGGAAATTCTGGCCTTTGTTAGTCTTGTATGTTTTTAAATTTTAGTTCATTTATATATTTTGGAGTTGAGTGTGACGTCCATTTTCACTGAAATAGTACACATTTTTCTTTAGGGGCTAGCTGAAGCCCGCCTCCGGGTGCGGGATTTTCTCGCTGTGTTGAAGACCCATTAGTGGCCTTGGGCTGTTTTGTGCTCTTTGGTCGGGTTGTTGTCTCTTTGACACATTCCCCATTTCCATTCTCAATTCTATTTTGTACAGAATTTCAATACATTTTAGATTTGTTTATTGCACATAGATACTGCATAAAGATGGTTATATGTGAAATAAACATGCACTACTAACATGTAATTGATAACTGGTTTTAAGCATCCCTTTTTCACCTTAAAAACAAAGCTCATACCTCACTTCAAGTACAAAACAACTCCTTCCAAAACATATTTTGATTATTTTTTTATTCAATTGTTGAAGAGCTGATTTAACTTAAAAAGATAAAGAGTAAAGACTAACTCAGCCAAGAATAAGTGAGATACACTGTAAGTATAATACCTCCTCAATAATTTAAATAAAATCCTTTTTTAATGAAATAATGTGACCTTTGCCGAAGAAAACTGTTTTATTTTCCTGAAACCAAATATGTCTGATGGTTAGGGTTCCCGTTGGCAATCATATCACATCTCCTTATTAAGATGTGCATCAGTTGCGTGGTAAGCTCAATACGTTACATATAAAATTATATAATTCCCTTCAAGAGAAGCAGAGTTATAGCGAAATAATTCTGGAAACAAGCGTTGTGTACATGGAAGTCTTGTCATACTTATTTTGTTATCACAGGGTAATACCGCAGCAAATTTTAGTCCCTGGGAAACTATAAGCCAGTACTTTCGTTTGTCATGATTTAACTAATTCATAATGATTTTGTTAAACTCCCGTTCAAAATATTTAACTTGCTATAAAGTTAAGGTTTACATTCCCAAATGCAAAAAGTAACATAATAAAATATACCGAATAGAACTCCCAGGAAAGTTATAACCCTAGATTGTTTTGACTAATGTTTATGCTATCAATAGTGGGTTTCGTTTGTTTGTTTGTTTGTTTTGTTTGTTTTTCTGCTTTGTTTGTGTGTTGTTGTTGTTTTTTGTTGCTTACCAAACCTTTGATCTCGAATTTATCTAATAATGGGTCTTCCAAAACCAAGTACTAGCCACATAAAAATCGTTTAATAGTTTACGATCATTCGGTTGGTCTAAGTGCTGGTGGACTATTAGTCCCTATACTACCATTCGCTCCATAGCAAGTACTTCGGTGTTGACATGATTACATTGTGCTTGTACTTCTAGCACGTACAACTATGTAACTGTAAGCTAGTGTGTTCTAAGGTGATCTTGGCTATTCTGTCTAGATAATTTCGAATGTTTATATTTTTAAGTTTTAAAGTACAGGCAAAAGCAAATAACGGATGTTCAAATCTCGTTAATTCATTTACTATTTACGAAAATAGGCGATCAACAGTCACACAATTTTGAATTATTCGGTGAGAGGACATTATCTACAATGTAAAGTTAGGACAATGTTAGAATTATACATATTCATGAGAAGACCTAGTATGAATTTTTATATAAAGGAAAATGTTGTTTACCAATGTAACAATCTATATATATGAATATGTATAATTCGTCTAAATAACAGCCCAACAATGTTAGACCTGTTTGTTCTTCCCTGGCCGGGATTCGAACTCATGTTACTGAAATATCGTGGCACCAATTATATATATAAATAATACAAGAGGGAATCGCATGAACTCCAAACAGATCGAGACCAGGTGCGTCGAATTCGAAAGGATAAGCGTCTCGTGCTATGCATGCATCGCCCACATTAAGAAAGTATTAACAAAAATATCGATCTCCAAGGTAAATTTAAAAAGGGGAAAATCCATAAAAACTGACAAAATCAAACGTTATACCATATCAACCAACAGAACGAATGGAAAACAACTGACTTGGTACATGCATTTTCTGGGGGGAAATGGTGGGTTCAACCTGTTTTTTTTAGCCATCTAAACCTCCCACTTGCAAGACAAATGTGTATAGTTCCGGTTTATTGACAAAATTGGCGGTGAGCAATCCAAATGGACATGTTTGCACCTGAGTGTCCTAAGTCAGGAATCTGATTATAGTAGTTGTCATCTGTTTATGTAGTTCATACGTGTTTCTCGTTTCACGTTTTTATATAGATTAGACCGTTGGTTTTTCCGTTTGAATGGTTTTACACTAGTAATTTTTTGGGGCCCTTTATAGCTTGCTGTTCGGTGTGAGCCAATGCTCCGTGTTGAAGGCCTTACCTTGACCTATAATGGTTTACTTTTATAAATTGTAACTTGGATGGAGAGTTGTCTCATTGGCACTCATACCACATCTTCCTATATCTATGTTCAGTAGTTGTCGTTTGTTGATGTGATTCATAAGTGTTTCTCGTTTCTCGTTTTTTATATAGATTAGACGGTTGGTTTTCCCGTTTGAATGGTTTTACACTAGTAATTTTTGGGGCCCTTTATACATTGTAGCTTGCTGTTCGGTGTGAGCCAAAGCTCCGTGTTGAAGACCGTACTTTGGTGGTTTACTTTTATAAATTTTGACTTGGATGGAGAGTTGTCTCATTGGCACTCATACCACATCTTCTTATATCTATAATTGGTAAATTCTCCAATAAGGAATCATACTCTGTCAAAATATCACAATAGGGAATAGGTAAATGTACGGATAAGATGACTTTTCTGGTATTTAAAGATATAAAACTGGAAAAAAACATGCCTGTTGTGTGTTGAGACACGGACACGTCGTCGTCTACGTACTTTTTCAATGTTATTGATCATTAAGGTGTTTTAATTATAGTTTTCTTTCTTAATAGTACAGTCTATAGCAAGACACATGGCCGCTGTGGCTAAAAATCTCATCATGAGGGTTAAATGCCCGTAGTTATCTTATTTCTACCACTATCTATCATTTCTAATTTGCTAGACCACCATTGCAGAACCTATCTGTTGTTTTCATTATTATTAAGTTCTCTGAAATATTTGCCACTGTACGTTAAGACAATAAAATATCAAACCATCTTTATTTTGCGTATCTTCGAATATGCGAGTTTTCTTCTTTACAATGATAATCAAAGTACTGAAGTACTGGACATCGGATGACCGCAGGTTCTTGTGGATGATCAAAAGCACATGTCACAGAAATAGATCACATCTCTATACCTGAAACTGAGGTTAATTTACAGACTGATATATTTTTTTCTGATACAAGTTCATGCATGGATGATGAATAAATGACAGGAAGTTCAACTGCACCGTAATAACTATTATATTGTAGTGATACAAATCAGTATACCTGGGACTATTATACAAATATAATAATAGTCCCAGAGTATACACCGGTTTGTTGTTATATATTATATTAATATTACGGTTGCATGTATATATAATTTTCATCTATTTGTATATCATTCTATTCTACTATTCTAATTATAGTGCAGTGCAAGTGCATGGTGGACACTCTTCTGTAAAAAAATCGATTTTTCTAAAAGATTGGATATGAGAAGCCATTCATATTTTCCCGCAAAACAATAACAGAGTTATCGGTCCTTGCCGGGAGTATCGCAAAACGTTCTTGAGATATTCTTCCGTAAACTTTAACACAATTTTTCGGTACGTGTGCATAGATATCATCAATGATTTTTACTTTTATATATATAACTAACGACAACACATTTTCATATAATTAATTTGTGTTTTAATAAAAATATTTATAGGAGTATCCATTGAAAAAATGAATTTGAAACAAGCGATAAGTAATGTTATTTTGCACTAGATAATGACCGCGGATCTATAATTTTTATAGATCGGTTGAAAACCCAAAACTAATTTGCATAATAAAAATTTAGGCGATAGCAATACATCGAAATGACCTCACGGTCATCGCGATGTAAAAAGGTCAAGGTAAGTACATGTATTACTCCTTTCAGACCTCATTCAATTAAACTAGATATGACTGCATCCAACTATATATTTTTGCAAACGTTTACATATTCTGCAAGCCTTACATTCTAAATTCTACACATGACTTAGACCAAAACTGTAGTAAATCTGTCTTTATCTATTCAAAACTTCAGTAGTATTATACATTTTATTCGTTTACATATAAAGAAGGAATTAATATGTGTTAAATGTTGGTTTATGCGATCTTATAATATGCACCTTTAGACAGCTGTGTTATTATATATAATGGAATCCT